ATTCCTCAACAGGAAAAAGAAGTCCCGGGCCAACGCAGGAATACAGATTCATCGGGTGTAATACTACAAAAGAAACAGCTGGTGGAAGGCCAAAAAGCACCCCAATCAGATATACAGGAAAATGGAGCAAAGGCGGGCGCAATAGCAAGGCTACTTATGGAAAAGCAAGATGAAATTGAGGTGAGGAAATCAAGAGCTAAGAGCTGGAGGCGACAGGGGCAAACAAAAAATAGGAGTGGGGAGAGCTCTCAAATCACCCCCAAAAGCGGGTCCTAGATGAGCAGAACGAAGTAATTCTCGCAATGGAAGAGGAACGAGCAAACCAGAAAAAGGCTCGAATCCTGGGTTTCCCGGATGAAACAACAATGGTGGTTGATGGCACACAAAAACAAATGGTTGGCGAAGTGGTGGACTCTGCTATGGAGCAGAGCCGCCGAGCTCAATGAGTCTATTGAGCTACAACTGTCGGGGGCTCGGGATACCCCGGCAGTTGAGAAGCTGAAGACGCTTTTGCGTCAAACCAATCCCGAGATTGTGTTTCTAATGGAGACAAGGCTCTATGAGGAAGAATGGATGAGGAAGATTAAAGAATTGGGCTACCACAGCGGAAAGGGGGTTGCAGCTGGGGAGCATAGGGCAGGGGGCCTGCTGTTGATGTGGAGAGAAGAAGTAGAAGTAGAAGTGAAAGGCTGTGATATGCATTTCATTGATGCTAAGGTCAAAATGGCAAATTGCTCGGAGGATTGGCGACTAACAGGTATCTACGGCTGGCCGCAATCACAAAACAAGTATAAAACATGTGAATTGCTCCACAAGTTGTGTAGGCAGGTGGAGATGCCTTAGTTGGCGATAGGAGATTTTAATTTAATGGTTGACCAGTTAGAAAAGAGTGGCAAACATGACCCGGACGAAAGAGTATTGGAAATGTTTAGGGATTGCCTCGAGAATTGTAGACTTGAAGATTGTGGCTATTATGGAAGAACCTTCACGTGGGAAAACAATAAGGAAGAGGAAAACTATACCGAGGAGCGCCTGGATAGGGCTGTAGGTAATGCACCTTGGTTGCAGTTATACCCTAATATGAGGGTTTATCACTTGGAGCGATGTGGCTCGGATCATCTGCCCATACAAATGAAACTAGACTGGAGGAGGAAGAGATCACATGGGGATGGAGCTTTCGTTATGAGCCATATTGGGAGCGACATGAAGAATGTGGAAAAGTGGTTGAGGAAGGCTGGATGGGAGCGGGACAAGGGAATCTTATGGACAGAATTCAAAATGTAGAGACCAAGCTTCGGTCATGGACAGTGACATCTTTTGGTTCGCTAACAGAAAGAAGGAAGAGAGCAGAGAGGGCTTTGAGAATTCTAGAGAAGAGAAAGAGAACGAAGGCTGTCCTACTGCAGAGGAAAGTTATTGAACAGGAGCTTAATGAAATCCTCTTACAGCAGGAGATAAAGTGGAAGCAAAGGTCTCGATCAGACTGGTTAAAAGAGGGGGACCAGAACACGGGGTATTTTCATCGTAAAGCTTCAGAGAGAAGAAGAAGGAATACTATAAAGAAGCTAAAAGACGAGCGAGGGCAAATCCATAAAGGACAGCAGGGGGTCACTAGTTGCCTCCTGGATTACATGAAAGGATTATTCAAAGCGGGAAGTAGACCTGAAGTGAGCAGAGTTATGCAAGCAGTTAAAACAAAAGTCACAGAGGAAATGAATCAGGAGCTACTTCAACCCTTTTCAGATGAAGAGATTTGGTATGCCTTGAAACATATGGGGCCAAACAAGGCTCATGGGGCTGATGGGATGCCAGCACGGTTCTTCCAGAAACACTGGAAGGTGGTGGGGCAGACAGTAAAGGAAGAGCTGAGGAGCTACCTGGAATTGGGGGAGTTCCCACAGCAGCTCAACCACACCCTTATTGCCTTAATCCCCAAGACTAAGAAACCTGAAACCCCTTTGGAGTTTAGACCAATCAGTTTGTGCAAAGTTCTATATAAAATTATGTCAAAGGTTCTGGCGAATAGACTTAAAAGAGTACTTGACCAGATTATTGGAGAGCAGCAGAGTGCGTTTGTGCCGGGGCGCTTCATAACTGATAATGTCCTAGTTGGTTTTGAATGCTTTCATGCCATGAAGCAAAAGAAGAAAGCAAAGATGGGGGTAATGGCAGCCAAGTTAGACATATCAAAAGCGTATGATAGAGTGGAATGGGGTTTCTTGGAGGACATGATGCGGAAATTGGGATTTGTAGAAAGATGGATCAAGATAATAATGCACTGTATAACCACAGTGACTTATTCTATACTGGTAAATGGACACCAGTCTGATTTGTTTACACCAGAAAGAGGGTTGAGACAGGGGGACCCAATCTCCCCATATTTATTTCTGCTCTGCGTGGAGGGCCTTTCAGCCTTAACTCTACAGGCAGTTGAGGAAGGAAAAATTCATGGTTTGAAGGTGTCAGCTCGTGGACCTAAAATTTCCCACCTACTTTTTGCTGATGACAGCATTTTCTTTCTGCGAGCTACTTCACAGGAATGCCAACAACTAGGAGAGATTCTCAGGATGTATGAGGCTGAATCAGGGCAGATGGTCAACATGCAGAAGTCAGAGCTGATTTTCAGCCCTAGTGTGGATTTGAACAGAAGAACAGAGCTGGCGGGTATCTTACAGATGAAAATTATAGACAATTACACAAAATACCTAGGCCTCCCTACTGTGATTGGGCGAGAAAAAAGGGCGGTATTCGATGTCCTGGTTAATAAAGTGAGGAAGAAGATTAAACATTGGAAGAGGCTGACTCTATCTATAGCGGCTAAGGAGGTCCTGATTAAGGCGGTGGCCCAATCTCAAGCCACATATATGATGTCAGTGTTTCTGATTCCGAGGGGAGTGTTGAATGAGATCAGGAAGGCCATCTCGAGCTTTTGGTGGGGACAACAGAAAGAGGAACGCAGAATCCAGTGAAAGGCATGGAAGGAGGTATGTAAACCGAAGGAGGAAGGGGGCATGGGTTTCCGTGACTTACACACTTTCAATTTAGCACTACTGGGGAAACAAATCTGGAATCTCCATATCAATCCAGGCTCTCTAGTAGCGCGAGTCTTGAAAGCTAAGTACTGCCCTAATACTAGTGTTCTACAGGCAAAGGTAGGGTATAATCCCAGTTACACATGGCGGAGTATCATGGCAGCACAGGAGCTAGTTAAAAGTGGATTGAGGTGGAGGATAGGCAATGGAGCTGGGGTGAGAATTTGGGGGGAGAAGTGGATACCAGAGGCAGAAGAGAATGGGTTCAGGGTGACAACGCCTGAGGAGGAGACTGATGAGATTAGGGTAGTAGCTGATCTTATTGACCATGAGAACCGAACATGGAATCAGAGTCTACTACAACACTTCTTCAACCCTATTGATAGAGCACGCATTTCTGGAATTCCAATCCCTAGACAGACAATGGAGGATGCACGAGTGTGGAGCTAGGAAAGAACAGGCAACTACTCAGTAAAGACAGCCTATAGACTGACTAAGATGCAGGGTAGAAGCTCTTCGTCGAATATGTATGAAGATGCTAGTGGAGGTGAAGAAGAGGAGGGGCTAGCAACGGAAATATACGACCCCATCAATTGGAAACGGCTCTGGCGGCTCAAGATACCGGCGAAAGTAAAAATCTTTACTTGGCGGCTGATCCATGATATTCTCCCAACAGGGAAAAACATCGAGAAGAGAAAGGAGCAAGCGGCAGTCGAATGCCCATTTTGCCATCTGGAGGAAAAGCAAAATCATATATTTCGGGAATGCCAGTGGGCAATTAGGGTTTGGAGGCAATCGGATTTCAGACATCTATTCGATTTGGAGCCAGGGTTGTCGTCGTGTGGTTGGATGTGTGAAGTTATGGAGCGGGCAGATGATACAGTGCTAGAGCAATTCGTGGTCTATGGATGTTGTGGAGTGAGAGAAACAACCAATTGTTCAATCGGAAGAAGGCATAAGAGTGGGAGGTTGTTGGGAGGGCTCTAAGCTACTGGGAGGAGTATACGTCATACCATAAAAGGGAGGAGCAGGTCAAAGAGACAGAAGCAGTTACCTGGAAGCGGCCGCCGACTGGGTGGGTAAAGGCGAACGTGGACGCGGCGGTGATTGAAGGACAGGGCACGGGACTGGGGATGGTTCTGAGAGACGAGAACGGAGGCTTCCTTCGGGCAGCGGTGCGGCGAGAGCGACGATGCTGGCCACCGGAAATTGCGGAAATGAAAGCGGTGGAATTCGGCCGGAAGCAGCTGGAAATGAGTGGCTTTCGCCGGCCGGTGGTGGAGATGGATTGCCTGCAGGTGGAGAGTGTGCTTCAGCGGGCGGATTACTCGAGGCTGGAGACGGGTCATGTGATCAAAGAGTTGCAGGCTGAGGCCCAAAGAGTTGGGGAGATTCAATGGAGCTTTGTTAAAGGGGCTGGGAATAGTCTGGCCCATAACATGGCCCACTCTCTATGTAATTGGGAAACCCAAGAGGCCTGGGACTCTAGACCACCTATTTTCCTCCTAGACAGTTTGACTAAGGAGATGGCAAGCTATTAATAAAATTCCAGATGTTGATTATAAAAAAAAAACCAATGTTTAAAATCAAAACTATCAGCAGACGCAGAAAACAACTAAAGGGCCTTCTTGGCCACAACATGGGCCACCCGGTTGTTCGTCCTACCAACAAAAGAGATTCTGAAATGAGAATACTGTTGTCGCAACCAACAAATGTCTTCCAGAATCCTTCCACCATCAGCATCCCCAATTTCCGAACGTCCAATCTTGTCAATGACTCGTTGCGCATCACCCCGAAATTCTACTTCAGTTAGACCCATCAGAGAGCACCACCGAAGAGCATCACGGAAAGACACCAACTCAACCAAGAACGGATCACATAAACCTGCGAAATGAAACTCTTTGACAAAAAGAATCGTCCCATCAACTGCCTGTACCACCAAACCACCCACACCATGCGATCCCAACCTCACCCCCCATCCACATAACAAGTGGGAATCGCTAAACGACCATCCCCAGCTGTAGGAACAGCCTGCCTAGTATCGCCAATATTTCTCCCAGTCATAACAATGTCCCACCAAGCCACCCTAGTATCACCATCTTCTAGCCGCACTCCCCCAGTAGCAGCAGCGGCTCGGCCAGCTGCACTCCGAGCAGCAGCAACGCCTCGACCAACCTTCCCATCAGCAACAGCTCCAGCGTCACTCCTAGCAGCAACAACGCCTCGGCCAACCTCCATATCAGCACCAGCTCCACGTCCAAACTCACCAGAACCAGCATCGTCTCGGCAACCTACCCCTCCATCCATAGCATCCCACCTAGAACCCACCAGCTGACCCAATCCACATTGCGGCAGGGTCACCCATTCCCTGACCTGCTCCTCAAACTATCGAATAAGCACACACACACATCATATTAAAGAAAATCAAATGTCACCCAAATACGGCTCTTCCAAATCCGCCACAACAAAGCCACAAATCGGAAGATACGCTCACGACCAGTCTTCTGAACTATAAACCGCCGGAGAAAAAAAGCAAAGTTCACCGGCAAAGGCTCCCGACGCAAATCCATGAGACCCGAAGCTTCCCACAGCGCCACCGCAATTCGACATTGAAGGAACAAATATTCCAACATTTCTAGTTCATCCCAGCAAACAGGACAGCGTGCAAGGCAAGCTCCCCCCTTCTCACGAATTGCTTCCGCAGTCGGAATGACTCTCCGCATAACCTGCCACATAAACAATTTAAGTTTTGGAGGTATATCATATCCCCAAACCTACTTCCAATTGGCCATGTCAAAGAACGAAACCTCTGCTTTCCACCCTGGATTACGACGGCTAACTTGAACAGCCACATGATACCCAAATTTGACAGAATATTTCCCTAACTATTCCTTCTCCCATACTAGGCGACACTGGATCTGCAACCGCGGGAGAGGGATTGATTGAATGGCTATAACAACCTTGGGTGGAAAACATTGCTCAAGGAAATCTACACACCATTTCCTAGTCCCAGGAATCAGCAAATCCACCACCCCTACATCCTCCAGACTCGGCGCCGACGGGAGCAGCTCCACCTCCTCCGGCCGATATCCAGGAATCCAAGGATCCCCCCGAGACCTTCACTGTTGACCTGTCACCAATCTGCCATCTAACTCCCATAAGCAATAAATCCCTCTCATTGAGTATACTCGTCCATCCACAAGATGGACGCGATCGCGGTTGCGCCACAAAAATGTTCGAGTGAGGAAATTATTTAACTTTAAGAACCCGTGCTAGGAGGGTATATGGCTCATTCCATATCCGCCAAGCTATTTTTGCCAGAAGAGCTCTGTTAAAATCCTCGAACCTTCGAAAACCAAGACCACCATCAAACTTACTGCGGCACAAATTCTTCCATGAAACCCAATGTGTCTTGTCCCCTTCAGCTGTATACCTCCTCCAGAAACGAGCAACATGCTTATCCAATTTCCGACAAAGCGTGAGGGGTAACAGGAAACAAGACATTACATAATCGACAATGCAACCACAACTGCTTTAAGTAAGACCTCCTTCGCCGCCCATGACAAATGTTTTTGTTTCCAGCCATACAGTTTGGCAAGCAATCGCGCCTCAACAAAGAGAAACGTCTCGACCTTTGACTGTTGAACTAGGGCCGGTAACCTCAAATACATATCCTAAACCCAAATCGCTCCCACTCCTAACAATGTCCCCATCTCCTGCGCCTCAACCGTGGAAACATTATCATAAAACACACCGCCGACTTATCAAGGTTAACTTTCTGGCCACTAAGGAGCTGGTATTCATTCAGGACCATAAGAAGATTATGTCAATCAGGAACAGATGCTCGCAAAAACAAATATGAATCATCCGAGAAAAATAAATGCGAGACACTAGGACATCGGGGACTAATCTTAACTCCCGCCAACCGGTCCTCCTGAACAGCCTGGCGCAACAAGGCAGCAAAGTCTTCCAAACAAATGGCAAACAAAAGCGGCGATAAAGGATCACCTTGGCGTAAACCACGAGACGAACGAAAATATCCCATAAGCTCTCCATTCATCATGACCGAAAAAGTAGCTGTCGACACACATTAACGTATCCAGTTGATCCATTGCTGATTAAATCCCATCTTATTCATGATAGCAAAAAAGAAAGACCATTCGACTCTATCATAGGTCTTTTCCATATCAACCTTCAGAGCCAAATATCTTTTCTTACCTTGCTTCTTGATCTTAAGGTAGTGCATAATTTCGTGTCCAATCAGTACATTATCCACAATCTGGTGTTCCCGAACAAACCATTCTGCTCCGATTAGATAATGGAAGGAAAAAATACAGCCATTCGTTCCGCCATGATTTTTGTGATAATCTTATAAGATAATTGACACAAGATTATCGCTGTAATCTGCTTCATCATTTCCACTTTGTCTACCTTAGGCACCAATGTTAACCAAGTATGGTTAAAATTCTTTAACAGGCAGCCAGATCAGAAAAAAGACTGGGTCGCCTTAACTACATCTGCTCCCACTATATCCCAATAAGTTCTATAAAACTTCCCAGTGAACCCATCAGAACTCGGCGCCTGTATCGCTCCTATAGAGAACACCACCTGCCGAATTTCCTCCTCCGCGTTCATTTCCCCAGTTACCAGCGTCGGAATGGGCAAGGCAGCAACCCTTTGAAAAACATCCTCTAGCGGATTCTCTGACCGGAATAAGCCCTCATAGTAGGAACTCACCATACCTCCCTTCTGATCCTCTTCCATAACCCGCACGCCAGCCTCATTGTACAGTCCATCAATGGTATTGCGACGCCGTCGAGCCCGGGGTAACTATGTGAAAATAGGGCGTGTTCTTATCTCCTTCCTGCAACCCCTGTACTCGAGACCGTTGTCGCCAATACAATTCCTCATCCGCCCATTGAGCGAAGAGTTCTTTCTCCAAATCTCTAATATGTTCCCAATTAATATTAGGATCACCTTTAAGAGCCTCAATTTCCGTTTGAAGCACCCTGATGTTCCTAGCCGAATTATTTGTCCCGCCACGACTCCAATCATATAACAAATGTCGCAAAGTCTTCAGGCGCTACCATAATCAGAACATTGGCGACCCATGATAAGATTGACTCCACACATATTGCACAAGAAATTAGACTTCCGAGTTCGTCGCCCACCTAGAATCAAATCGAAAAAGAGGTTTCACAGCTCGCACAAAGGGCTTGTCCGCAACCAGGAGTGCTCGGTGATCAGACCCAAGGTCAGTACAATGCTTGACTAACATCTCCGGGAACTTCTCCATCCACGTCGAGGAGACCAAAGTTCGATCAAGTTGGGCCATAATATTCGCCGTTCCCATCCGACGGTTGGACCAAGTAAATTGGGGGCCAACAAATCCTACTTCATGTAGACCAAGTACATTAATCAAATCCCTAACCCATGCAGAACCCATCGGATCCCAAGGTAACCCCCCTAACTTTTCCCCAGGAGACATTGTACAATTCATATCCCCCACTAACAAGTAAGGTACATTCAATTGATGGCAGTAATCTCGAAGGGAAGCTACCTGCCGGGGACGGGTAGGAAGGGAGTAAGAAAGATACACGCACACACGGACATACTCCAAATTGCCAATCTCATTACCATCACCAAAGGAAATACAAAAAGACGAATGAAAAAGAACATGTAGCTCAACCCCGGTCTCCCACCCCAAAGCTAGCCCCCCTGATGCATCGACTGCATCTACAAGAAAGAAATTCTAAAATCATAAACCCCGCATACGGCGGGTAACTAAGCGCCTACACGATTTCATACCCGAAAGGAACACGATATCTGACTTATTCGACCTACACAGACCAAGAAGATATTGAAACGTGAGCGATGGTCCCTCATGTTCCAAGCTACAAGCTTCATTTGGCATCTTGGGACCACTTACGGTCGGTATCCTCCACCAATTCTTGAATATCATCTCCACCAGGATTCACATCCTCCATACAAGGTTTCTTAATTAGTGTGGGATCAAATTGCATTCCCTCCACCTCATTCGTCGAACGCTTCTTAGAAGCATCATCCTCTGGTTCCGGAGCAACCATTCGGAACACTTCTTTTCCTCGACTCTTCAGTTCTCCCTTCCCAGCAGCACCTTGCTCTGCCACAGCACTATGGCCACCCACCAAGACATCCTCATCACGTAGCTTCCCTCCTGCATAGTAATGGTTCCCTACAGCTGCAGCATCATCATCTCTCCACTGCCCCTTTTTCCATCCACCCTTCGAGCCCTTCCAGTATTGTTGTGGAGGGCGGTTAATCATTCCTGGCCCACGAACATGGCCAGAAAAAGAGGTCTGATGTCCTCTAGGCTTACCCTTCAGATGGTATCCACGGCTAGACCCATGAGAACTTCCATCCCCATGGCCATCAGCAGCCCAAACAAATTTTTTCACATGATCTCTCCTTTCATGAGTTGACGTCGCTAGCCGATCCACATGCAAGGCTTGGACAACCTGTCTCTTCTTATATCCTACCTCCGCCTCCTGCATCTCCGTATCAGTCGACTTCTTCTCCCCAGCATAGTGATCTCCACGAAGTTGGGGGTTCACCCACACTGATGGTTGAGGATGTGGGAGGAGGGCAGGAGGAGCTATCGCCGCTTTATCAATTCTATAGCCAATCATATCAGTACTCATCTCTGGACCATAGTACTGGATACCCACTGGATCCGGAAAGTGACAATTGGGAGGTGTATGTCCCAACCGACCACAATGATAGCAAAGCATAGGCAGAAACTCATAGATTAAAGTAACCCACAACTCTCCCACCATAGGATTGCTTGCATACACTTGAGATCGCAGCAGTTGAAGGACATCCAGCTTCACTCTAGCTTTGATAAAAATTCCCTAATTCACCTTGGATAGCGAATGCCCCAATATCAATTACTTCACCAATCTTAGTCCCAGCCACTCTCTTCCCGAAAGCCACTGTCCTGCAGTGGGAAGGGATTCCCCACAGTTGAACCCAAAAAGGCACCGAGATAAAAGAGTCCACTAGAGCTTGGGTGATCGGAGCCCATGGTTGGAGCTGCAACACCAGATCCTTCACTGTCCATGGGGTACGTTGGAGTACCCAGTCTCGGTCTCCTTCATCCGCAAAGAAGAATTGGAAGAGCCCCATCTCTGCCTGTAGAACTCCAACCTCCACCGCACAATTCCATTATCTATTGACAATCTTGCTAATCACAGCTAAACTAGGTGGATTATCAATGAAAATCCTACCTAGGAAGCTCATCTTTGCCCATTGCACCCCCGAAGCCACATCCTCCATGTCAAACTCAACCACCTGCCCCATGTCCATGGCCTTCACACCCACAGCAATCTCCTCCACCTGCACCATGTTCGCCTGAGATCTAGAACGCTGGATGCACTAGTACAAACCGCCAACAATACTCATTAATAAGCCAACAACTATTACCCACAAGAAAAGGACTCCAATCCATGTATACATGAGAACCAAAATTATACCTTTCAAAGACCACCAATGTTGAGACAAGTGCTTCGGCTTTCGGTAAACTCTCCACCACTGTAAACACCGAGTTATTGAGGGTGGAGAATTAAATCTCGCCGTTGTGGTTATATACGTCCAGTCCACCGTCGAGCGTAGCACCGTACTCCGAACGGACTCTGTCTCTGGAATAATCCCTTTGGATTTACAGATCTGCACATATCGGGCATAATAATCCACACCCCAGGATAAATCTCTCCGCTGATTTTCTCTCCAATCCCCGAATCGGGAGTCGCCAATAAAATCTCCATTTGAGATATTTGCCACTGGCCTTTGTTGCCATCTTCGAGATCCACTATTCCCCCTTATCGGTGGTGAGTATCCCCTTAGTATCAACCGGACCAAGGCCGGACCATAGTTTTCTACCGCAGTCACAACCCTAGTGCAAAAGAGCACAAAGAGGAAAACGAAACCAGTGAAGAGAGAGGAGAGAGCAGTCCTCATTTTTTTTCGATCTTCCTCTTTTATAGGATGGTGGGGATTCGAACCAAGACTTCTTGCACACAAAATAGAGTCTAATTTCATTTCATTTAATTATAATTAATGTAAATGTAAACAAAAAAAACATGGTACGAAGCAAATGCAATTTTATTTACTTGATATCTCATTTGCCTTCACATCATTCTTTTCATTTTTATGGATCCATTCAATTTATCTATTAGATAGTATCTTATTTATTTTAATTTAAATTTTAAAAAATTTGCAAGAGATCAATAAAATAATATCCACTTCGAAATATTTTTGGTTAAATTTTTTTCCAATCATGTATACCACCATGGTATATGATGCCTCCATTAATATATATTTTTTAGTTTATTTTGAATAGAAGAGTGAATGTCATTTTGTGTAGTATTACTTACTAGCTTATACCCATCCGTTGGCCGGAATGTTAATTTGTGTTGAGTGATTTTTAATTGAAAAATCTAAGAAATTAATATGCCCCTTTTTATTGCTTCCTATCTTTTAGGGCTGGAAATCGGGTTGGTTCATGTTACTCGGACTCGGAGCGGCGGGTACCCGGACCCAAAAAATTCCCATGTTAGGAATCAAACCCAAAACCAAAATAGTTCTCAGGTACCTAAGTACTGAATTTAATGGTTCACGGTTCTTCTTCGGGTACCTGAGTGCTAATCTCTCCCGCTGCCGACAAAAATGTCTTCGCCCTCCCTCTCGATTCGACTCCACTGGCATCACCGTCCACCTAGCTCCTCCTCCCTCCCTCATGAGTCCCGCCTTTCTGCTAACTCATCACCATCGCCTACTTCCGTTATGCTTCTTCCTCCCAATCAGGTCCTCCATCACCGCCTCCAACCAATAACCACAAGCGAATAGATCCACTCTCCCGTAGAGAGGAGCAGCAGCAACAATTGGAGCCGAAGAGGAGCAGCAGACCCTTCGTCCCCGCCTTAAGAACCTCTCCTTCTCGGTCCCACCTCGATTCCGTTAGGTTTCAATTTCGGTACTGGATTTCACAGAAACCCGAAACACCGTCACATTAGGATCCAGACCCGATTTTTCCATTGATGCATCAGCTCTCGGTTCCCCGATACCCGTCACTTTTGGTTCCGAATTACCTAGAACACGGAACCCGAATGTCCACCCCTAGCCTCTTTTAATAGAGGACTGAAATCCAAAACTGAAGGTGGAATTTACATCATGATATCCCAAATCATGATCCTACCAGCTATTGTGGAGAGAAGATCTTTATTTGAAAAATTGAAAAACAATAAAATCCTTACCAGCTAATTGTACCAGCTACAATCAATGAATAAAAGAAGCAACGGGGAAGAAGTTTTCGAGGAACAGTTCACCAGTGGAAATAACGTGAGATCATTTTCCTTCTTAATTCAAGCTATTTACGATTCAAGAAAACAAAAGAAACCCAATTGAAGACTCTAAATACGGAAAACAAACCACCCAAAGTATGAAACAGAGTTATTTGTCCAGCTTCTGCCAAGTGTACATTGTACTACAGTGGTCACCCATTGATTATCCAATTCAAGGGGGCATTTTTACCGAACTATCTCGGAAAAAACTAAAGCTAACCGTTGTAGAAAGGATAGTGGGGCACGGACTCATGACGGGTCATCCGAGCTATGAAGAACAGAGGGAAACCCACAGTTGGTGGCCAATCAAAATTGGCTATTGATCCGAGCATAATATCTATGAGTCGCATAACTTCTGAGTGAGTTACTGGATGATATCTTTCACAACTCTAGATTTGTCTCACTCATAGGCATCCATTAGTGTAGCCTCTGCATTTTCTTTTCATGAGTATGAAGCACTAATTCTTTAATTCACATTTTTTGTCTTACAAACTTGCAAATAAGAAGTAAAATGCGACAGAAACATAGCTACTCCAAGCTTAGAACAGTAGGTGAAACTTTTCTTTCTCCAATCTCTACTTAGAATTAAAAGTAGCTAAAACCTCGAGATAATCATCATTGTAACATTGTTACACACAAAACCATGATTTATTAGTATATACGAAGCAATCAACATAAAAAACATTGTGAACAACCCAGTACAATCAAGTTCTTACAGGCAGAATGTTTCCATGAGCAAATAGGTCAGCAGGTGAAACTTTTTTATATGAAGGTGATGGTTAATGTGTTCATCTAGTCTCTTCTAAGAATCATTACATGTAAAAGTAGCTAAAACATTGCGGTATTCATCATTGAAACACAACAAACTTTATTTTTATTTTATTAGTACATACTAAACAATCAACACAGAAACATGTGAACAGCCCAATACAGTCAAGTTTCAGGTTGTTAAGGGAAATGTTTTCATGAGCCGATAGCTAATTGTAAGTAATAACAGGGGCCATCTCCAAACTCCATTTGTGAACCCCACATAGTCCTTTACTCTTTCTGCATAACGTGTTTGTCCATTTTAACAGATTTGAATCATCTTGTCAATCTGAAACTTGTGTGCATAATGGACAGGAAAACTTGTGTACACTTGTTGTTTAAGCCACAAAATATAAAGCATATATAGTATACATAACTTCTGATGGAGACTCGCAATGCTAATATTTATGTCTTTAAACGGCCCTAGCTTTTATTAACTTAAGGACCAACCTTTCTAGTATTAGTCAAATCATTAGCATGAGTGATGCATCATAAGGCAGTATCAGGAAATGCATTGGGTAGTTACAACTAATTCCTTTAGCATTCACAGAGTATCAAATCGCGGTACATACATCGAACCCAAGGGACAGATCCTTCAAGTAGAATATGTGTCATGAATGTTCGGTAGTCATAATAGTCATGCTTCATAAAAAGAAGAATGACTTATATATTCATGAAACATGCATGCCAATTAGAGATATATATACAACCAATCCATAAAAATGAACAAATATATTGATAGAACCTGGTGAGGAACCTATTGATACACTAAACACAAAATTAACAACTATAAAGAAGCTCACTTTGCAGCTTACACAACCCTGCTCCTAAAACCCATATTTGTATGTCAAATTCAGCAAAAATAAGGGAGCATAATGGAATACATGTGAGATAATGGGCCTGGAAAGAAAGCTACATAAGCAGGAGAATGTGCTTCTTTCATCAAGTGGTGCTTCCTTAGAGCCTTCATGGCCTGCTTGATGGCTTCCCTTGCAATCTCCACCAGCGACCTGAAACAGAGAATTGATCAAAGTAAATCAAGGACATAATATACAGAACTTGATCTCAACTAAATTGTAAGTAAAAAATACAGGGAATTCAGTAACCAACTGGTAACTATATTTTCTGCCTTGAGTAGGATCGTTGTCTAGGGATGTAATTAAGAAAGCTTACAGTGATCGCAATTGTTAATGAATGGGATGGAAACGAAGCTAGAGGAACGGGGGAATGAAATAAGAAAAAGAATTGAAGAAAAAAAATAAGAATAACCATCGGTTAGGGAAGTTTGGTAGGAAAAATGGAGAGGGATAGTGGTGGTTGTGCAGAGTTCTGTCAAGGGTTTGAGGCCGGCAATCTTTGTGGTGAACTGAGGGTACAGTTAGAAATCAAGGAGCTACAGTAAACGGCACCAACGAAATCTTTCCCTGTGGATTCCTTAAAGACACTACAAATTCAATCCACGTAGGAGAGGTTGATCCATCCTCACCGGCTTCAATGGAGCATACTAGGTTTTCCTTCGCTGCCAGATATCATTTTTGAAACTTCGAACTATCTCTAAACTCCCAAATCCACTACCAAAAGTGTCACCAGTTTCTTCGAAAACGAAAGAACAAATCCTTCTGATTTACTCGACCTTTAATCACAACTAATCAGCAAGAAAGATGGGTATGCTCCATTTTTAACCTGGAAGTGAGATGGTGATTGTCAAGGTATCGAGACAGAAGTGCAGCAGGCTATTGCAGAAGAAAGGAAGAAGAAGGAATCCTGAATGGTTGCGGATTACAGAAGGAAGAAGCTTAGAAGAAAACGTCGTCGTTATGTTTAAAGCTTCAGTCACTCTTATTGTAAACGCAGCCGTTTTGCTTTATAGTTGTTAGCCGTTAGAGAAGCACTGTTAGCTTCTTAACAGGCCAATAGTTTTTGGACACTTGTTAAACATCTGCTAATTTCATTTCTTGCTATAAAAAGCAGAGGACTCAGCTGACCAAGCTGAGCTTCCTCTTCCCAAATTCTCTTGCAAATTCACATGGTATCAGAGCAGTGTCAGCTCTAGGGTTTTTCTCTCGTGTCACAGCCGCCGCCATGTCTGGACAAAACTCACCAGGCTCAGGGCAAAGGTCGACACAGTCCACTGGAGCACTTGGGACTACAGCAGGAGTACAGTTTGGGTCGTTCAACCAGGAGAACCTTCAGAATGAGACGATTGTATTCGGTAACCCATTTTACCTCAACCCGAATGAAAATATGTCGATCTCTTTGGTCTTTGAGTTGTTTGATGGTTCCAACTACTCGATGTGGAGTAGATCTATGCAAATGGTTTTGAAAACAAAGCATAAGGTGGGTTTTATAGATGGAACTATAACCATGCCTCCTAGAGATTCAGATCGTTTTGCCTTATGGGATGCTTGTAATACCCTAGTGCTGTGTTGGATTCAGAATTCTGTGGCTAAGGATATCAGGAGATCTGTTCTTACACACAGTAATGCTAAGGCATTGTGGGATGAACTGAAAAGGAGATATGGAGTACCTAATGCCCTTCGTATCATGAACTTGGAAGATGAAATAGGTGATTGTAAGCAGGGTACACAAACCATTAGTCAGTATTACACTAAGGTTAAAGGGTTATGGGATGAGTATGTTGAGTTTAACCCAATTATTCCTTGTGCCTGTGCACCTGGAAACCCCATACCTTGTGCTGCTGTTGCTGCTTTCATTCAAAAGCAAGAAACAGACTATCTAATCAAGTTCCTGAGGGGATTAAACCCAGCATATGACATTGTGAAGACACAGTTGCTGATGCAAAAACCGCTGCCTAGTGTATCTACAGCTGTAGATGATTTGTTGCAACATGAACAGAAGTTGAAGGGTGACAATGTGTCTGGGGGGAAGAAATCGCAGACAATGGTACTTGCAGTTGAAGGAGAACAAGGAAGGGATGGCAATGAAGGTAGACAGGGGAGGAAGTTTTGCAGATTTTGCAAAATGAGAAATCACAACATTGAGGACTGCTGGAAGCTGAAAAAGAAACAAGGGGAACAAAAGGATGGAACGAGTTCAGGATCCAACTCCAGTTCTGGGACACCTAGATTTGTTGGATCTGTTAACCAGTCTGGTACATCAGATGCTCATTCAGAGGGAAGTTCAACAGCAGAAGGGAGTGGAACTCAGGTATCTCTTGGATTCACAGCTGAAGAGATGAACAAACTCAGGTATCTGTTACAAGCTGGTGCTGGCTCACCTTCTCCACCAAATTCCCCATCCATAAACCACCAAGCCTTTTCAGTTTCTCAATTCCTAAGTCCCTTCCCTAACCATTCAGGTAAATACATCCTTTCATCATTTCAACATACCAAAGTAGCTCCCATTGATCTGTGGATTTTAGACACTGGAGCCTCAGACCATATAGCATGTAGTAAAACCCTTTTCTGTGAAAGTAAACTTGTTGCTGATACTTTTGTTTACTTACCAAATAGTACAAAGGTATTGGTTTCACATATAGGGACAGTCAAATTACCATCAGGACTCTTCCTATATGATGTTTTACTAGTACCTAGCTTTAATTTTAATCTCATTTCAGTGAGTAAACTAACCAAAGACTTTCCCCTATCCTTACATTTCCAATCTGATCACTGTGAAATTCAGGACCTGTTAAGCATGAAGAGGATTGGCTTAGCAAAAGAGTCTAGGGGGCTATACCAACTTACCTTCACCAGCAACCAGACCAAGACCTTTTCTTCAAACCAGACCAAGACTTTGCAGCCTTCACATAAACACCAAGCAGCTTTTACATACAATTTTCAGCCACAAGAACTTGATCTATGGCACTGGAGATTAGGCCACCCTAGCCATGATAGACAGTCTTTATTACATCAAAACAATCCAGTTGTAACTAGCCATAGGATTCAACATTGTGAGACCTGTCATTACTCTAAACATAAGAAACTTCCCTTTCCTGTTAGCACCAGTTTTGTTTCAGATGTGTTTCAGCTTATCCATGTGGATATTTGGGGACCTCTTTCTACTGTTTCTTATGATAATTACAGCTACTTCCTTACAATTGTGGATGATTGTTCACGTGCTGTTTGGGTTTATTTGATGCGCCATAAGAGTGAGGCAAGAAGTCTATTACAGGGTTTCTGTAACTTGGTTAAAAACCAGTTTAATACAACAGTGAAGATTGTCAGAAGTGATGGAGGGAAAGAGTTTGAGATGAATGAGTTTTATAAAATGGAAGGTATTGAACATCAAGTGTCTTGTGTTGAGACACCTGAACAGAATGGAAGGGTGGAAAGAAAGCACCAACACATCCTCAATGTTGCTAGAAGCTTGAGGTTTCAATCTGGTATCCCAATGGAGTTTTGGAGTGACTGCATTCTTCATGCAGTGTATATCATAAACAGGATGCCAACACCAATCTTGAAAAACAAATCCCCTTATGAAATACTTTACAAACAACCACCACACCTAGGCAATCTAAAGGTGTTTGGCAGCTTGTGTTATGCCAGTACATTACTACAAGGCAGGACCAAGTTTGCTTCCAGAGCCAAACAGTGTATTTTTCTAGGCCTACCACCAGGTGCTAAGGGTTATAAGTTGTTGGACATACATGACTTTACAGTGTTTGTGTCTAGAAATGTCACTTTCTATGAAGATATATTTCCTTTCAGAACTTCCACTGGCAATGCAGATGCTGACTTTCCACCTTCCTCTCCATCTGTCACACCTGTGTACCCTCCTACTCATTCTTCCCCTCCTATTTCTATGCCTTATGTTCCACCTGATCATCCTCAGTCTGTTTCATCCAAGGATGATGGGGGGCATCCTACTGCACTGAGTCCTGAATTGGGTGATACAAGTAATGAAACAAATGACAGCAGCCACAGTTCCTTTCATCATCAGCATTATGAGTACTTTGAATCTGAGGATTATGAATTAATGCCCCAGCAAGAAGTTGATCTTGATGCTGATGCAGAAATTGCAGCTCAAGAAATGACAAAGAGGAAAGGGAAACTTCCAGCAAGGTATAATGACTACTATCTTGATGAGCAGGTTGGTAATTTCAAGAAATCTAATTCATGCTATAGGTATCCTGTTTGTTTCAATATGGATCATCTGGATTCATCAGACAGAATCTATGCAATGAATGTGATGAATATGTTTGAACCAGTCTCTTATTATGAAGCTATCAAGATTGATGAATGGAACAGGGCTATAAACAATGAGATATACTCACTTGAAGAGAATCAGACATGGGACATAGTCCCACTTCCAAAGGGGAAGAAGCCAATAGGCAACAAGTGGGTATTCAAGCTCAAACTGAAACAAGATGGTTCCCTGGAAAGGGAAAAGGCCAGATTAGTGGCAAAAGGGTTTACTCAAGTGTATGGGATTGATTTTCTGGACACATACTCACCAGTGGCCAAAATCAACTCAGTTAAAGCACTTCTGGCAATTGCTAGTGTGAAAAACTGGATCTTAGAACAACTGGATGTATCAAATGCCTTCTTACATGGAGACCTGGAGGAAGAGGTGTATATGAAGATACCACTGGGGGTGAAAGTACCAGAATCTAATGGCCAAACTATGGTTTGCAAACTGAAAAAGTCTCTTTATGGACTTAAACAAGCATCCAGGCAGTGGTTTGCAAAGCTGACAGGATATCTGATGAAACTTGGCTTTGCTCAATCAGCTTCAGACTACTCACTCTTCACAAAATGGGTTCCTGGTAAGGTTGTGGTACTTCTGGTGTATGTAGATGACATCATCATTGGTGGTGATGCTCAAAAAGACATAAACCAAGTCAAAATGGCTCTGAGCAAGGAATTTAAGTTGAAAATGCTTGGACCATTGAAGTATTTCTTGGGGTTGGAGATTACTAGAAATGAAGCTGGCATAAGTGTATGTCAGAGGAAGTACTGTACTGATTTGTTGAAGGACACAGGTTACCTTGAAGCCAAAGGATGCAAGACACCTATGGATTGCAAGGTAAAGTTAACTGCAAAAGGAACTTTGTTAGAAGATGGAGAAGGATATAGAAGGCTGGTTGGGAGATTGCATTATCTGACAATTACAAGGCCAGATATAGCATTTCCAGTACAACAGCTATGTCAATATCAGAAGAATCCTTGTCAAGAACATATGCAAGCAGCATATAGAGTTCTGAGGTATTTGAAAACCTCACCAGGGCAAGGAATACACTTTAGCAGCACAGCAGAATTGAAGTTGATTGGCTATAGTGATTCTGATTGGGCAAGCTGCCCTGATACTAGAAGATCAGTGACAGGGTATTGTACATTCCTTGGATCATCCCTTCTCACTTGGAAGACAAAGAAGCAGACAACAGTGTCAAGATCTTCTTCAGAAGCAGAGTACAGAGCTCTAGCACACCTTGTTTGTGAGGTACAATGGTTGAGGAGATTACTTGCTGAGTTAACTGTACAGGTACCACTCCCTATATCAATTTACTGTGACAACAGATCAGCAATTCACATTGCAGAAAACCCAGTTTTCCATGAAAGAACTAAGCATATAGAGATAGATATGCATGTTACAAGAGAAAGGATTAAGAGTGGACTGATTAAGCTTGAACATGTTGGAACTACAAGTCAACTGGCAGATTTGTTCACTAAGGGTTTGGACAGATTCAGAATTGTTGAGTTATTGAGCAAGTTGGGGATTAAGAATGAAATGGAATCGCCAACTTGAGGGGGGATGTCAAGGTATCGAGACAGAAGTGCAGCAGGCTATTGCAGAAGAAAGGAAGAAGAAGGAATCCTGAATGGTTGCGGATTACAGAAGGAAGAAGCTTAGAAGAAAACGTCGTCGTTATGTTTAAAGCTTCAGTCACTCTTATTGTAAACGCAGCCGTTTTGCTTTATAGTTGTTAGCCGTTAGAGAAGCACTGTTAGCTTCTTAACAGGCCAGTAGTTTTTGGACACTTGTTAAACATCTGCTAATTTCATTTCTTGCTATAAAAAGCAGAGGACTCAGCTGACCAAGCTGAGCTTCCTCTTCCCAAATTCTCTTGCAAATTCACAGTGATAGACTCCAAAATGAAATTGGCAGTGAGATTGAGAACGACTTACTAAAGTGATTCCCGAAGATGAAGAGTGCATTTGAGAGGAATACATAATCTTGATAAACATGTTTTATTTGAACATCCAGCACCCTCGCTGCTTACTGTGACTTGGTAAGAAACTTGACACTCTTGTCTCTTGGTGATTTCCTCCAACCAAGTCATATTAACATGTTTATCATCATCAAACCATTCAACTAGAATTATCAGAACCTCTATTTCACCCGTGGACAAAATAACCTTGATAGAAATCTCAACTCTTTTATGATGCTCAACTGCATTCTCGGCAACTATCCTCTGATTATTCAATTGCAACCTTACGTTTAAGACTCACCTTCAATCTCAAGATGCTTTTGATCGTTTGCTTTAGGCTTGAATCGAAGGTACAATTGAAGCAATTGCAAGACTGTCTTCTACTGCTTGTCCTCTTCTAGGAGTTTCATGGCTTCTTGAGTCTCCCGATTTTTGAGCTTTTCTGCAACTTCTTGAGGCTTGACTGAGTCAAGCGTGAAGAGGAATTTATATCCCTTCCTCTTTAGCCTCCTCTCTAGCAAAAGAGAGCTCTCCACAGATTGACAATCAGTAGTAGCAGGACTGAGTTGTGTTGCACCTTCTCCGGGTGAACAAAAAGTAGAGTATCATTTAGATTCAATTGGGAGATTGTTCTTGTTCCGCTTCAAATCGCAGTCGCCGGGTTTCTTCACACCAAAAGCAACTGAGATGGGTTCCTCTGCTTTCGGTTTTTCAACAGTGAGGGCTTCCTCTGTGTCTTCATCATTGCCTGACTTTGCTAGCGACGGTGTATTCTCCTTGACTGGGTTGCGCTTGTGCGGTTTCTTCACAATCGGCTTCTCATTGCCAAGAACTACCTCGCTGTCGCCTCTGCCTCTTGGGTTTCTTCGCCTTAGTGCTCTCTTCGGAATCTAGGTCCAATGGTGCACGATGGCAACGCCTTATTTCAGATCAAGGGCGGTGGAGATGCTCGACAGAGCTACTGAATCATGAAGTCCTCGCCTCGATCCAGGATTTTCAACGTTGATTGCAGATCTACCGGCTGGAGCTCTTCTGGTAGCGAGATGGGAAAAGATGGTGATGACTATATGATGTTGACCGCATAAGGTTGTAGGGATTTGGGTGGATAGATTTTGTGATTTTTGGTTTTGAGATATGATGGTTCTATTAGTTATGGAGTGTTCTGGGTTTTGGTGGGCCTAATTTCAGGTCCTTAAACCCTCTTTTTTAAGGAGGATTTTAAAGCATTGTGATTGGCTATTGTGGTTTTAAGTAGTTAGTGAGAAGTTATTAGTTAATTAGTTGTTATGAGTATTTAGGAAACTATAAATAATATTACAAATTAAATAATTAAACCTGCTAATTTCTAAACCCACGTCCATACTCAAATAATTAACCCTACTAATCTCCAAACCCACTTTCCCTCTTAACGCTTTCTTCAATCACTTTTCTCTGGCCGTTCCTTCGGTTCCCGGTAGCGGTCTCCGCCGTCGGCTCCTCAATTTCCGTCTCGCCCTCAACTATCCCCAGCTTGCCGTCGAGTTATCTCAGCAGCCGAGCCAACTAGTTCTCTCTGTCCGCAGAGCCGTAGGTCCGTCTTCCGGCATCGCTCCATCATTCTTGTCGTTTGATGTCGTCGTCCTTCAACAGTGGCCCGCACAGATCGTCAGCTCGTTCTGTCAACAGCGGTCGCCGGGTGTTGCTCCCTTCGGGCATCGATCCCGTCGTCTTCGGCTGATTTGTATCAGAATGTTATGTTCGCACCATTTTGTGTTTTGTACTTTAGGATTTTTTCCTTAATTACATGGAATTAGGGTTTTTTTGTGGCATGGGTGTTGGATTTTTGTTGATAGGTGATTCTTTGTTGTACTGTGAATGTTATCCGATCGGTTATTTTTAATTATGTTATGTTGCATTATTAACTTTGTTATGGTTCCTTTGTAATTGTTTAATCAATTTGTTGGTAATTAGAATTAATTCACTAATAAGTAAACTATCAATTTAGTTTATAATGATTTTTAATATTTTGAAGTGTTATCGTCAATCCTGTAGGATTTGACGTTTGATTATTGAGCATGTGCTATTATTATCTATCTTTGTTCATTATTAATGTTTCTTTGTCCATTAGTAATATTTGTCATGTTCAATTTTTTTTATAGTGTGCTATCATTAATTTGTTGGCTGAATTAACGTGTAGTATTAACAATCTTTGTTCATTATTAACGTTTCTTCACCCACTAGTAATATGTTCGATGTCATTACTCATTATCAATTTTTAGTGGTGTGCTATTATTAATCTATCGGCTGAGATCGCGTGTACTATTATTAATCTATTACTATTAGCATTATTAATAATGCGGTATCATTAATCTATCTGCTTAACTAACTTGTAGTATTATCAATCTGTTTCCATTTTTAACATTTTCTCAGCTATTATTAATATTTTTAACGGAAAAAATCCAAAAATACCACTGTTTAAAAAAAAATTCCAAAAATACCACCCAACCCCAAAAATTTCCAAAAATACCACCCTTTTTCAAAAACCGCCACCCCACCCTGCGGTTTACACGAAAACCGTTTGTCAGAGGCGCGGTTTTCTATACAAACCGCGGGCCTAGGGAGCGGTTATAAAAAAAAAAAAAATTTGACCAAACCACTGGGTGGGGTGGCGGTTTGACCCAAAACCGCCACCCCACCCAGCGGTTTGGTCCAATTTTTTTTTTTTCCGATCAACTCCTAACTTCGGCCGAAACTTCAAACGAACGTAACTTTTCACTCGGGTATCCGATCGTAGCGATTTTTTTTTTATTTCGCATAACTTTTCAATATCTACAACTTTTACTAGGATGAAATTTTCAAAACAGGAACTATTTGTGGATATACGGGACCTTGGGAATAACTTTAACTTTACTTTTCACAAATCTATGTATATTTTGAAATTATGATTATATTAAAAGTTGTAGATCTTGAAAAGTTATGTGGAATCAAAAAAACATTCATGAAATTCGGATTTTGGAGCACAAAATTATGGCCGCCTAAAGTTTGACGAAATCAAAAAAAGGCTCGTTCGGGGTGGCAAATGACGTTTTTTCGAGACGAAGGCGGGACCCGGCGATTTGTGGCTTGCAAGATCTCAAAAAGTTATTCGGATTCAAAAAATGGAGGCCCCAAAGTTTGACGAAATGGAGGCCGCAAAGTTATTCGGATTCAAAAAATGGAGGCCCCAAAGTTTGACGAAATGCGAGACCCGGCAGTATGCGGCTTGCAAGATCTCAAAAAGTTTGCGGCCTCCATTTTTTGAATCCGAATAAATTTTTGAGATCTTGCAAGCCGCAATCCGCCGGGTCCCGCCTTCGTCTCGAAAAAACGTCATTTGCCACCCCGAAGGAGCCTTTTTTTGATTTCGTCAAACTTTGGGCGGCCATAACTTTGTGCTCCAAAATCCGAATTTCATCAATTGTTTTTTGATTCCACATAACTTTTCAAGATCTACAACTTTTAATATAATCATAATTTCAAAATATACATGAATTTGTGAAAAGTAAAGGTAAAGTTATTCCCAAGGTCCCGTATATCCACAAATAGTTCCAGTTTTGAAAATTTAATCCTAGTAAAAGTTGTAGATCTTGAAAAGTTATGCGAAATGAAAAAAAAAATCGCTACGATCGGATACCCGAGTGAAAAGTTACGTTCGTTTGAAGTTTCGGCCGAAGTTAGGAGTTGATCGAAAAAAAAAAAAAATTGGACCAAACCGCTGGGTGGGGTGGCGGTTTGACCCAAAACCGCCACCCCACCCAGCGGTTTGGTCAAAAAAAAATTTTTTTTATAACCGCTCCCTAGGCCCGCGTTTTGCATAGAAAATCGCGCCTCCGACAAACGGTTTTCGTGTAAACCGCAGGGCGGGGTGGCGGTTTTTGAAAAGGGTGGTATTTTTGGAATTTTTTGGGGTTGGGTGGTATTTTTGAATTTTTTTTTTTAAACAGTGGTACTTTTGGATTTTTTCCATTTTTAACGTGATTATTAAGTTTTTTAGTCATGTTATATTACCAATCTATGTTCATTACTAATGTATTGTTACCCATTATTAATATTTTGAAGGTCATTATCAAAGACTTTCAATGACATTATCAATTTTTAACGTATCTTGCACCTATAAGTTTTCATCACAAGGTATTTCCTTCAGATTTGTAGTGTTAAGTATATATCATTATCAACAAAGTCATCAACATTTTATAGCAACGATCGTAAAAATTTCCAACCAAGTCGTCAAACACAAAAGCTACGACAATATTCATTTTATTACCCGGCCACCACAATATTATTATTGTTTTAATTTGTGTCAATATTTCCATACCGTTATTAACAAATTAAAGTTACAATTTTAATAATATTCAACCCATTGTTAACAAATATTATCATACATTATTAACCGATAGCGCTAATATTATTAACCATAATATTGTATTTATTAACCGACATCTACCACGGAATGAAAATTAGATGACCCTTCAGTATGCTGGTTTTCAACCAACGTTAATAACATATTAACATCTATACACTACACTTTCAAAATATTTAACCCCGTTATTAACATGTCATTAAAGTGTTAACAATTTCAGTTTTGTCACCAACGTCAATAACATGTTAATAGCCAAACGCAAACGCAAAAGGTATTGTGTATTCCATATCCGAGTCGGTTGCTCAGACACGAGACGACTGGCGTGTTCGCAGTAGGAGGAAGCGTTGACAGCGGACGAGGAAGCGCTTGAAGGCCATTGCAGCGTCTACTTACGTCGGGAAGGAACAAACTGATTTTCAATCGCTACACGAATTAAAAATCATTTGGTTAGTAATGATGCACATTTTTTGGGAAAAATCTAAATGTACCACTGTTTAAAAAAAAATTTCAAAAATACCACACAATCCCAAAAAATTCCAAAAATACCACCCTTTTTCAAAAACCGCAACCCCACCCTGCGGTTTACACGAAAATCGTTTGTCGGGGGCGCGGTTTTCTATGCAAACCGCGGGCCTAGGGGGCGGTTATAAAAAAACATTTGGACCAAACCGCTGGGTGGGGTGGCGGTTTGACCCAAAACCGCCACCCACCCAGCGGTTTGGTCCAATTTTTTTTTTTTTCGATCAACTCCTAACTTCGGCCGAAACTTCAAACAAACGTAACTTTGCACTCGGGTATCCAATCGTAGCGATTTTTTTTTCATTTCGCATAACTTTTCAAGATCTACAACTTTTAGAAGGATGAAATTTTCAAAACAGGAACTATTTGTGGATATACGGGACCTTGGGAATAACTTTACCTTTACTTTTCACAAATCCATGTACATTTTGAAATTATGATTATATAAAAAGTTGTAGATCTTGAAAAGTTATGTGGAATCAAAAAAAAATTCATGACATTCGGATTTTGGAGCACAAAGTTATGGCCGCCCAAAGTTTGACGAAATAAAAAAAAAGGCTCGTTCGGGGTGGCAAATGACGTTTTTTTCGAGACGAAGGCAGGACCCGGCGGTTTGCGGCTTGCAAGATCTCAAAAAGTTATTCGGATTCAAAAAATGGAGGCCGCAAACTTTTTGAGATCTTGCAAGCCGCATATCGCCGGGTCTCGCATTTCGTCAAACTTTAGGCGGTCATAACTTTGTGCTCCAAAATCCGAATGTTATGAACTTTTTTTTTATTCCGCATAAATTTTCAAGATCTACAACTTTTAATATAATCATAATTTCAAAATGTACATGTATTTGTGAAAAGTAAAGGTAAAGTTATTCCCAAGGTCCCGTATATCTACAAATAGTTCCTGTTTTGAAAATTTCATCCTACTAAAAGTTGTAGATCTTGAAAAGTTATGCGAAATGAAATAAAAAATCGCTACGATCGGATACCCGAGTGCAAAGTTACGTTCGTTTGAAGTTTTGGCCGAAGTTGGGAGTTGATCGGGAAAAAAAAAATTTGGACCAAACCGCTAGGTGGGGTGGCGGTTTGACGGTTTTGGTCAAACCGCCACCCCACCCAGCGGTTTGGTCCAAATGTTTTTTATAACCGCCCCCTAGGCGCGCGGTTTGCATAGAAAACCGCGCCCCCGACAAACGATTTTCGTGTAAAACGCAGGGTGGGGTGGCGGTTTTTGAAAAAGGGTGGTATTTTTGGAATTTTTTGGGATTGGGTGGTATTTTTGATTTTTTTTTTTTTAACAGTGGTACTTTGGGATTTTTTCCCATTTTTTGCCTTGTTAATAGGATGATTGCTATCAATTGGACTTACCCATGTTATCCATATGAAAATCACGATCGCAGGCAACGTCCACGACTGGTACAGAACTAGCATCA